CATTCCAGATGGGCAAAGCACCGTGGAGGGCAGGAGCTCATATAAAGTGGATCCAGGAGAATTAGTGTTTCTTCTGGCTGTTATACGCCATTGACATGCAGCTTTTGGGGCAGAAATAAGTTTTCTTGTGGTGGAGAAACCAGCTCTATAACCACGTATGTTCTGAGAACTGCCATAGAGCTCTCTGCATTGAGCATCGCCTGCAGCTCGGGTTGTGAGAAGCCAGATGCACGGGGGCACACCACCTTCCCTGGCCATCCTTTTTTCTCCTAAACTCCCAAAGTTGGAAGCCTTTACTATGCCCCTGCCTCTCATTAAGTAATCCTGACTTCTTGGAGCTGTGCAAAGCTCTTAATAGCTAGCAGCACATGATAAATCAGAAATAAGGGGTTTGCTGGCTGGAACGTGTCGTGCTGTACATCCTTGGGAACATATATCCTCGGGAAACACGTTTCCAGCAATCCACATCATAGGCAGATGCTTTTTGTCTCTTAGGTGTTTCCTGGTGGCACAGCAGAACTTGGTGAGCACCAGCAGGATTTTACACTATAATTGGCCAGTGTGCACAAGGCTTAGAGGTTTGGCTGTTGGCATCAGTGAAGCAGGATTTGGAGTCTCCCTTGAGCCTTGCTAATACCCAGATACTGCAAAGGAATCTAAACGGCTTATGCTATTCCAGGTGGGCAAAGCACTGTGTAGGGTAGGAGCTCACATAAAGTTGATCCAGGAGAATTAGTGTTCCTTCTGGCTGTTATATCCTGCCTAATTCTAACTCCTCTAGGAGTTATTTTGCCACAGCATCTGTACAAAGAGCTATGAAATTCCTACTGCACTGACTTGGCTATGGGTACCCCTACAAAGGAAATTCACTTAAAACACCCTTCAGAGCAATTCAAAGTTGGAATGGACAAGGATAATCTGCAAGCAGGTTGCAGGGAAACTGCTCTGGGTTTTGAACAAAAGTCCCCCTCAGTGCCTTTATGTTAGAGGTTTATTCCTGTGACTCTCAACCACATTCCCCCTTTCCAGTATGCTCCTTCTGAATCACATTTTCCCCTGCTATTTGGAAGAGCAAACAGCAAGAAGTGTGAAACCTCTGTGGCCTCGCCAAGTGCAAGCCAGCCTCCCTGCTGGGAAAGGCTCTAGGAAAGGACACTGGGACAATGGGAGCAGGCGCTGCCAATATTCAGTTCTAACCTTCGTGTCAAGTGCAACGTGGTTTTGCTGCCTTTAGGGCTGTGTCAGACCTGCGAGCCCTGCCTGCTGTGCCCAGGCTCCTCTCCCAGCAAGCCCACACCGTGCTGATGTGCTTAACCTATGCTTTGTTGCACCCTGCTATTACTCCAAGCGGTCAGAGAAAGCCCAGTCCATTGGTTATAAATGCTGAACATCTTAAAGATACTTGATATCTGATTAAGCACTTTATAAGTCTGTTCATGCAAGTATCAGGCCAGATTTCCTCGTTTTGTGGGTGTAAGAAAACATTTTCTGCTTAGTCCCATAAAACCATTTGTATTCATCCTTATGATTTCACCATTGTTTTCCCTTGCTCAGCAAGATGTATATTACAGTCTGTTTAATTGTGTGTTTGATCTTTACTACTTAACCAGATCTATTTATCATTACAATGCATCAGTACATTATAAATCTTTCAGGCACATTTATCAACATAACAAAGCTCCCACTGCAGAAGAGTCCTCCAGGGAAATAAAGCAACAACAACAAATGCTTTAATGCAATTCACTTAGCAGTACAAATATTTGTAATTACAAAAATCTTTAAGTGTGCTTCTCCCATAAATGGCATGTTTTACTTAAAATTGCTTTCATAATGTGATAGTGCCTCCAATTTATGCAGCTGATGGGTTCCTCGAATTGAAGAAAGCAAGGCCAAGCTCACTGCTTTCTCCTCTTTTCCCTGTTGCTGATGAGAAGGCAGAACTCGAGCTCACTGATGTGCTATTGAAAATTTGGCTGCACCTAATAAAATGAGAGCATTTAAAAAACACCAGTGCGTGATTAATAACTGCTATAAATACATTACAGCAGGAATGCAGTGTTACAGATAGCTGCAAGCCATGTGTGAACCAAGTCTACAACAATCAATTAACCATTAATTGTAATGTCTGTTAATCATTGATTAATCCTTTATAAATAACAAATACATTATCCTTGCTGTAAACTGGGACCACCAGGTTATATGACATGGCTATTCATGTTTCTCAGGTCTATCAAAGACAAATACATGTTCTCAATCGGTTGTAATTCCGGCACCATTTTTGTATGTTTAACATTCTTGGGAAATACGCTGTTACTCCATTAGCAAGTTTGGGCTTTCTTTTGCTTTTGCCTCAGAGCAAATTACTGCAAACTAAAGGACGTCTCAGGAAGTCTGGTTTTATGGCTGAAAACTGTCATGGGGATGCTTGTATTTTCTTATCATGCACAGAGTCATACTCAGATTGTCCGTGGAAGGTGCCTGGCCCAGCATTGCAAGTTCTGCTGGGCACATAAAAACAGAGCCCAGTAGCACTGGGCCTGACCTGAGCAGACATTCAAGGGACCACAGTGGTCAGACAGGGTAGTGCCCTGCAGCACTTTTCACATCTCCAGCTATCTTTCCACCTACAATGTATTCCCCTGCCTCCAGGTAGTGGCAATGGAGTCACCTTCACCAGATCCATTAGATAGAATCATAGATTCATAGAATCCTAGAACAGTTTGGGTTGGATCATCCAGTTCTAATCCCCAGCCATGGGCAGGGACACTTCCCACTAGACCAGGCTGCTCCAAGCCCCATCCAACCTGGCTTCCAACCCATCCAACCAAAAGAGCCAGAATTCCTTGAAGCCACAAGAACTAAGATTCTGAAAGCAAGTTCTCAAACGTTGACAACATCCAGACTTCTGATACTTTGTGGAACCTCAGTGTGGCCACACGAACATTATGATGCTCAAGTGACAAGCATGATGTTATATTTTCCATAGCATTATATATAGCTCTCCATTCAGAAGACCAATGCTCCATTAATCACCAACTGTTTGAAAACCTGCTTCGCATCCACTATTCCTGCTTAGACCCAACCTACTGCTATTGTTCCTGTGCCTAATTTAAACACATAGACTTTAATGTCCGGTCTGCCAGAGACACAGAGAAGCAAAGGAAATCTAATTTTTCCCATGTTTCTCATTGTTCCAGAACAGGAGATTCCCACCACATTCCAAAACGTGGTATTTCAGAACATCATTCTGGGGTAAAACAAAGCCTCTACTCTTCCAAGCAGAACCTTGGCCGAAGGACAGGGTGTACACCACGCCACTTAAGTCAATCACAGGAGCAAGGTGTGCAGTGACTGAGTTTCACATCCTGTAGAGGTGCTGCTACCTCAGAAATGTACACTCAGCAAGCAGTAAAGTGCATGGCTGCAGGCAGGGCTGCTAGGGAACAGGACAACAAAAGCAGGAGAGGCTGGGATGCGTGGAAGTTGTCTGAAGGGAGCAGTCAAACGTGCTGCTGTCACCATAGGGAGGGAACTGGAAACTTCCCTGTGAGGGCCCCTGGAAGCTATTGAGAAAACAAAATAACAGACCATGATGGAAATCTGTAACTTGAGACACCTCCAGTAGGCGAAAGCACAAGGATGTATTCCATGGAGAACAGGGCCAGGATAACACAGTGTAATCTACGCCAGGCTTTAGAAAATGCCCAGTGTGCCTGTGTTTGCTCTCTGGTTTTTAAATGAGCCTTCATATCTGCGCCTGTAAAACCTCTGGAGCAGGAACTACCTTCAAATACCCATTTACATGTTTATGAACACAAGAAGGCATTCACAGAGCCTCTGTCCTCAACAGGTCCAAGGCCTTTGAACAGTCGGCAATCTAAGAAGGGAGACAAGACCTGAACTGTGATGAACAGGTGAGCCAGGGCTGACACAGCTGTATTAACAGCCTCACCAGGCTGTTTAACATGCTATCCTCTTCAAACTCTGTGACACGATGGCAAATTCTGCTGCTGAAATGCTGTGGGCAGGCTTAAACCTCGACCGGCTGATCCGCAATTCAGAATGGGAGCATTTAGAGATTTTACAGTGAAGATTCTCCATGTGTGGTATCTAAATATGCCTTAATAGCTTATAAAAAAGATAATATTTATAGAGGCGGCTTGCAACAGCCGCAGGCAGAGCACCGCACGCTGTTTGAACGGGGCTGGCTCTGCGCAGTTTCGATGCACAGAGTGAGCTTTGCCACCTGGTGGCTATTGAGGAGAGGTATTTCTGTGCCTTTGTCATCCACAGCGCCCAGGTCCTGAAGGAAAACAAACATATAGCAGAAATTAAAGAAAAATACAGCCTATATAAGAACCACAAACCCGATCACCTGTAGTTCTTAAATGAAGCAGAGAAAAAGCTCCTATAGCACAGCTTGGATGCTCCAGAGCCAGGATACAGCCCTGGCTTGAAACAGTGAGCAGTAAGGGAGTTCTGAGAAGGGATTTCAGTTCAGCATCTGACTTCATTCCTGTTGTACAATGCAGACACTGGCATGAAACAAGCTCAGATCATCCATCTCACTGAAAGCCAAAGGTTGGGGTTGGTACTGGAGCAGCCGGCACTCTGCAGCTCCACAAGCTTCGCTTGTCAGATGGGAAAGCACATTACTGCGCTGCATTCTTCTGTTTCAGTTTCAGGTACTTAACTTACAGTGAGACCAGTTTCTATCGCAACATGTTCAAGCAGGTGAAGGCTATGGCAGGCAAAGTTGCCCTCCAAAGGCTGAGCAGACACTGCACTTGTGAGAGTCCACACCCCTGGAATAAGCACACCAAAAAATAAGAGAGAAATGAACAAATCACAACAAAGCTCTGCCCTTTCTACCCAGGAATCTACCTCCACAAAGAGATTTCAGAGGCTGATGGAGCTGAGCTGAAGCATCTGTTTAAGAATGCTTCCAACACCTGGAGTTTTAAACCTCACAATAATAGATGCTAAGCATGCAAGGCCAAGTTGGACAGGGCTTGGAGCAACCTGGTCTAGTGGAAGGTGTCCTGTGGCAGGAGGTTGGAACTGGATGACCTTTAAGGTCCTTTCCAACCCAAACCATTCTGTCATTCTGTGATTCTCTGACTAGATTTTGGGGGTGAATGATCAGATTTGGATTATTAAAGTAGCTTTTCAAAACAGCACCACAGCTTGGAGAAGTTTCATCCTCCCGTGTCTCCTGGGGATGAATTTTCAGCAGCCTGTATGTACCTCAAGAGAGGGATAAGCAGCAGTACATGGAGGTACCTCTTCTGGATGGCATTTCATTTCTATAGGGTGCATCTCCTAAGTAACAAAGCCACTTTGGTACTTGGATTCATTGCCACAAGAAGTTTACAGCAGACACTCAAATCCATGGTTTATTCTACTGTACCCTCAGGCACTTAACTGGAAAGACTATATATATGAGCTCTTCCTCTTAAGCTTTCACTTAGGTCACTGAAGACAAGCAGAAGGGAGAGCCCAGACAGATGCATCTGGATTTAAGAGCAGCCACATTCAATGGGTAGTGGACAGCCCTTGCGAAGGAAACCCCCTGGTGTCTGCTTAGAGCTGAACTCAGAGCTGCCTTTCACAAACACATCATGAACTACTGGGAGTCACCACCAGCTCCACTGACAATGAATTACAGATGAATGTGTAATCCCAAATGCTTTGGGGATCACAGCAACATCAGAAACCGTCTCCTACTTCCTGCAATGTTGGACAGAACACACGAAGAGTTCTCCAAATGGGGAGGTTTGATCCCAGAGCGTGTTTGTCAGGAAAGCCACCCACTGGAATGGCCCATTTTGCTCCAGGATACATATGAAAATTCCAGTGGGATGTGTGCCACAATCCAAGGGGTCACAATTTCATAGGGCTCTTTCAGCAGGCTTAAGACACTTATTTTTCTGTAAAACGGGATCTAGATCTCTGGGATCAGCTTCCAGTTACATGATGCAAAACTGTGCCCGTATCCTTTGGATTTACACAGGCTGAAAACCTCTAAAAATGAGCTTTGAGTCACAGTGGAGACTTTTTATCTTGTAACATGAGGGCTGTATCCGGTGCTTAAAGTGGCTGGGATGCAGGAGGAAAAGAAAAAGGAAAAACCAAAAAGAGCCATTCAGAGTATGAATTCTTGGAGACCTCCATTTCCACAAGGACAGGCTTCCCACTTCCTGCTTGGAACGCAAACGGGTGGCCTTGGAGCTGATTGCAAAGGGCTATGACTTAAGAGATAAATCACTGTAACTGCATAACATGCTAAACACATTTCACATACGCGAGGCCTTTGAAAACACACGGGCCAGCAAACGGCAAAACGACCAAAAACCCACAGCAAAGAGAAGCTGGAAGTCCCCTGACTCCATTTTAATGGGAAAACGACTGGTGCTGATAACAGCAAACACGTTACTGGAAAGCACCAAAAGCGGATTCTCTTTCGGTTATGGTTTAAGAACAGTAAAATACAGCACAGGCTTAACTTTACATGAGGGCTTAACTGAAATCCTACTGAACAGCACTGGCGACCTAAAGGGGATTTAGTTTGATGCTTCCAGGTGTGTTGAAGAGCAAGCACTGCTGCTTCCCAAGCTCCTGAGAAGTGGGGTATGCTGTATAGCCAACAGCTGTGTTGGGAGCAACTGGCTTGGGAATTCCATCCATGGCACTGGGTGAGACATACTGAAAATGGCTGGAGGCATTTGGAAGCACAAGACTGAGCTGTCAGCTCCTCAGGAGGCTTATTTTTAGATGTTGATTTGCTGCCTTAACTCTCAGGGCTTATCCAGGGAGGAGGAGATCCATCAGATTTTCCCAAACTATACAAGGACTTTGCTTTCAGCAGTAGCCCTGTCACATGGACACGTCATGCTCTGCTTCTAATACATCAACCTTGATATGTAAAAAAACGTTTTGTGCAAATTAAGCTTCAATCTTGCTCCTTTTCATGACTTCAAATCTTTGCAACTCAAAACATAGTCAAGTATTTAAATTCTGGGGATTTTAAAACTTCCTTAACTTCATTTATTGCATCCCTGCCCATGGCAGGGGGGTTGGAACTGGATGATCTTAAGGCCCTTTCCAATCCAAACCATTCTATGATTTTGTGATTCTTTTTATTGAGCAGATCTTCAACACTTCCAGCTAGCAAGCACTTACCCTTTCTAGGCAACACATGAAAGATGGGGGATAGATATGTAGTTGAGGACTGTGCAAGTAACAAACGGCTTCAACGGATTGGCATGCTCAGAGGATGATCTACATCGTCTTGGAAATGTCTCAAATGCCTCTAATCATCTCAAGGACATACTCTGGTCTGTTTATGGCAGCCTTGACACTGTCACAACCCACCCCCCTCCCTCCAAAACAAACAGTGATCCTTCAAAGAAAACACTGTTATGGCTCTGAGCCGAAATGTAAAGGCAAAAAGTCCTGAGAGTAGAACTGAAGAGCCATAATTGTCTCTGTAGTACAGAAAACGTAGGGAGGAAACTCCAGATGAGGAACTGCATTAAAAGAACAACTGGGGGCAAAAGTGGACGTAAACCGTAGAACGCTGGATAGGAGTGAGGTGGTGTGCATGGAAAATAGCCAGGGAGCTGAAAAACTACTGGTCTGTGTTGAGCCAGAACTCACAGCTGAAAAGCAGAACTGATGAAAGGACATTTCTTCTAAGAAAGGGAAGAATTCTAAAAGTAACTTTCCGGGTCTCTGCCTTAGAAGGTAACAAGGAGGAAGGACAGGAGGCAGGTACTGAGGGACAAACATATGAGGTATGAGGCCCACATAGGATCCTTTCTGCAAGAGGCATACACACAGTGAGTGCTGACAGTGGGATGAAAGCAAGCACCTGGGCTACAAGAGCAGGCACTGTGGTGAGCATCTACTGAACATGGAGCTTTCGCTACTAATGAGGGGCTATGTAGGCAAACGCAATGTGAAGACCAAGAAGAGGATTAATCAAGTTCTTCACTTATAGAATCATAGAATGGTTTGGGTTGGAAAGGACCTTAAGATCATCAAGTCCCAACCCCCCTGCCAAGGGCAAGGACACCTCACATGAGACCATCTCACCCAAGGCTCTGTCCAACCTGGCCTTGAACACCGCCAGGGATGGAGCATTCACAGCTTCCTTGGGCAGCCCATTCCAGTGCCTCATCACCCTCACAGTAAAGAATTTGTGACTTTAAAGGCAAACAGTGCACCAAGGAAATAGGAAAGTCAATGGAAGCAAGAAGACAGCAGCTGAAAGTCTCAGAGAAGATCAGAAATCCTGTCATTTCATCTGCAGAAGATAACCATACCGGACTATGTCATTTGAAAGGACAAAAATACAGAGCCACAAAGGAAAGGATGCACAGGATAATGGAAGAAACTGGGAAAGAAAACAAATGAATAACAGAGTTTGGTCTTCCTGGAAGATGTGTCACTGACCTCACTACAACAGCAAATTGGCTAGAATGTGACCTGCTCACTAAATTCAAGTCAGCCTACATGACCTCATGTTCGACATGCAACAGTAACTGGAATTCAGAGACATGGAAAGCCAAATCAAATAAAGCAGTTTAAAAACTGTAGTGTCAGTTATCCTCCATTTAAACAAACTATCAAAGGAATAGCAAAACCCCCATCACTTGACCTTTTATAATATAAAGACTAGAAATCTCTATGAAAGATTTAACTTAAAACATAGCATCGGGTTTAATGAAGAAGCATATCACATCTAATGGCTTTACTAAGAGGTCAGACAGAATGATCTAATATTACTCTTTGCACTTAAAACTGATGACCTTTTTTCCTCCCCCACCCTTTTTTTCCCCCTCCCAATTTACCCAAGGCAGAAAGGTTGGAGTGAACTGAATAAAGGAAATACTGGTGGTGCAGCCTTTTCCTTCAAGCAGAACAACTGACGCTACTGAAGCATCCGCTGAGATTAAACAAGAGAAGAAAACCCCTCAGTCTGAGGCAAGGAGTAAGCTGGTAACAGCAGTTACAGTCATTTGGAAAAGGCAGCCTTAATGATTTGAGGTGGAAGGCTGGCCAAGAAAATAACAAGGCATTTTCTCAAATAAACATTCTAAAGGAAAAAGCTGAAGCTTTTAATCCTGAATGGAAAAAGGCCTCTAGTTGTTGGTTTGGTAGCAACTGTGTATGACCTTTAAACAATGTTCTCACATTTTAGATTGCAAAAACGAAGTTATAGAAACCCCCCAACAACAAAACCCCAAACACAAAACCAAAACATCCAACCCAAGCTGCAGGGACTTCAGGACTGATTCCCAGTAACTGCCAACTGGAAATCTGTCCCAGGTGCTCCCTGGGACTAATCACCATTTATGCTCATTTGTTGTCATACAGCAGCATTTAACATTTCTCCTTCCTCCTCAGCATTTTACTATTTACAGTCAAATCACAGAATGCTTTGTGTTAGAAAGGACCTTAAAGAGCATCAAGTTCCAACCTCCCTGCCATAGGCAGGGACACTTTCAGCCTTCACTTGAAGCAGAAAAAGCCAAGTTACTCCAATCTCCTCTCACATCATAAGCACTCCACACCTCCAGTAGTTTTAAGTTGGTCTTTGCTAGGACTTCAGCCGAGCTTGCCCTTTTGAAAATGGATGACCAAAACTACACACCAAATGCTCCAGGTCTTGTGTAACATCTCCGATCCGTTTCCATCCCTACCAAAAACACTGCCAGATGCATCTGCCATCACACTGCTCTTATCCAGAGCTGCCCCACAGTGGCAACCCATCAGTCCTACCATGAGAAAACATGGCTTTTCCTGGCAAGTTGTTTTGACTCGCAACTACCTGACTGCATTTGCACAACTGTTCTCTTTCTGCTTCCAACAGCCCCTATTTTGATCCTTGTGCTCCAGAGTCTCTTGCACCTCCTTCTTGGCCAAGATCATTAATTCAAACACTACTATCTCCCAAACCCCTGACTGTTTGATGCAGGTACTTTGGTTACCTCCTACTTTCGGTTATCTCCTTTGACCTTTCTACACTGCCT